CAGAGTGCTGTGTCCTTCTGTGCAGGTTTCCATCAGAACCAAGGAGAATATAAAAACCACAGCTGAGCTTCTTGGCTGTTATTATTGGCATTACTTTTCAAGTATATTTACTTTTTCTCTCAATGGAAATTTACCATTCCTTAATAAGTTAGCCTAAATTATTTGTTCTAATACTTTGTTTTCTGAAGTCTTTCAATTTTGAATACTTTTCCAGAGTGTTCTTTTGCATTTTCATTATTTTTTAAAAAGGAATTGGTAAGTGGCAGGTCTTATCAAATGACAAGCCATCCTCAAATTTTGCATCATAAATAAATGAGGTTTGTCTCACATGACAATCTTACCCACTATACTTTCTATTAAGATTTCTATTACCCAGTATAATTTCTATTAATATAGAAAACATAGTAAAATGGAGGTTTTTACATAGAAATTTGGTTATTAAAATTGGACAGGTTATAAACTTAATTTTTCTAAATTTCAAACTCTGAAACTACTTTTATCACTTTATTCCAATTAATTTGCAAATAAAACTGTCACACACCTGGTTTAAGGAAGCCAGTAAAACACTTTAAGACACACAGTGACTGTCTTCCTAGGGTACACCTGCGCTCAAGAACTAGCCTCGATATTTTGCACACTGGTTTGCTGTGGATTTGAGAGAACACTTGCTAATGGATGCTCAGCATATTCCAGTCTTTACCTACTTGAGCTTGAGCTCTGTCCTGTCCACACTTGAGTCTTTCTGTCTTAGGAACTCTGAATGGCACCAGGGGTGGGCTGATAACTTATCTGCTGTTTTATTTATATGCATGGGATTTGGGTTTGCCTCTGCTTGTTTGCCCTATCACCTGCAAACAAGGTTTGCTATTAAGAACTGATACAGATTAATAGGTGAGTCACTGCTAGCTGGGGAGGAGGGGTGTCACAGAGTCTATTCCCAAAGACAAGTGACGTGAAAATATTAAATGCAAGTCTGTCTTTGTATATTGCTGAGAAAATTATTGATGAGGAAAGAGTATCATAACTTCTTACATAGGAATTATTACATGTACATATTTCAAATTACACTTTGCATTCCCTGCTAATACAAGCTGTATACTATAGAACCATAGTCTTACAGATGACAGCATAGCATTTTTGATGTTATAGAATTATCTTGTCCCTTTTCAAGATTCCTTTAGGGGATAACATGTTTATGCAAAAAGAAAGCTGCTATTTTTAATGGCTTGTTAAAAAAGTAATGTATCCTTTTCATTTTGTGATATAGGTAATTAACTCCCACACAGGGAAGCTGATCAACAGAAGGTCCCTGTCCTATTCATACAGTCCTGTCATGCACTTGAAACCCATTATCGAATTTCCCTCTGATTTTTAAATTTAGTATTTTTATGTGTTTGAGTATATTGCCTGTATGTATGTAAGTGCCCCCATATCATGCAATGCCTGTGGAGGTCAGAAGAGTGCATTGAATACCCTGGAACTAAAGTTACAGATGGTTGTTAGCTGCCATGTGGGTGCTGGGAACCTAGCCTGGGTCTTCTGCAAGAGCAGCCAGTGCTCTTAACCGCTGAGCCATCTCTCCAGTTCCTCCCTCTGATTTTTCCTTTCCTGTGCACTGTCACTTCACTGTTTTACTGTTGTCTGTTTCTCATTCTGCTAACCACAGGTTACACTGAAGAGTCCCAGGTGGGATTGTTCTCAAATAGGAAAAGTCATTACAGAGCTGAAATTTTGAGTATAATGTGAGATATAAAGGGTTAACTGTCCTGGAGTTTTCTCCGAACAGTGCAGTCCAAAATCATAATCAATTTGGAAACAAACTTTTACCCTTGTAGTTTAACTTGATAATGAGATAAAAAAGAAGGGTACGTACATGATTTGGAATTTGTGGACAATGAAATGAAGACAGTAGCCACTGAAGCCTTGGATTTTATTATTTTAATTGCATTTATTTATTACACTTGAGGAATTAATTAATCAATTTATTTTCTTGGGGGGCACATCATGGTGTGCCTGTAGAGGCCAGCACTTGTGGAAGTCAGATCTCTTCTTCTACCTGGTAGAAGTGGGGAATCAAGCTCAGGTTTTCAGGCTTGACGGTAAGTGTCCTACCAGCTGAGCTATCTTGCCGGCCTGAAGCACTGGATTTCAAATGACAAGACTGAATTACAGCATTTTCTGGCTCTTGACAGCACCCACACAGCTGTATGTTCAGGATGTCATTCACGAAGACATTTGTAGCAAAATCTGACCCATTAATTTATAGTAAATAGAAATTTATTGACTCATGGTCCTACAGTTACAAAGTCCAAGATCAAGGTACTAGCCTCTGGCCAGGGCATTCTAACAGCATCATCCCATGATGATGCAAGGGAGAGGGAGAAAGAAGGAAAGAGGAAGAAGGGTAGGAAAAGAGGGAGAAAGAAAGAGAGGGGGTGAGAAGAGAGAGAAGAGGAACTGAGTTTAGTGTTTTGTAAAGAAGCCATTCTCAGTGATATCAATCTATGCTTGAGGACTCCATCTTCACAGTCTAATTGCCTCACCGAGCCCCACCTCCCACAGCTGCTGCATTGAGCACGAATTTCAACAGCCACTTTGTGGGAGACACATCCAGATCACAGCAGGCAGTAACCTCACACCCCCTTTTGGGCAGTCCTGTTGTGTTTGTTTATTATTAGCGTACCTTTCCCCTTTTGACCCATCCAAGTTGCCTGATCAAGGTATGGCCACGTGCCTCTTGTGTCTTCTGTGTCACTCCTCCCAGCATGCACCTGTGTTATGTGGTCTTCCTTTGCTTCTGTCGGTTTTGCATTTCTCATCAGTATTTTGTTTCTGATTGGTTCTCCACTATATTAAGATCTTTCAATATTTAACCTTGCCTTCCAGTGTGATGAAACTGCCTTTCGCGTACGATTATTCTCAGCAAGTTTAGTGAGACTTGTGGTCCCTTCATTATCTGAGTCAACATCAAGAACACATACCTTTGGAAATACCATCCATCTTCCCTTCCTTTTATCTCCTTTCCCCCCTCTCGCTCTTGTCACTGCATCATTTCTTTCATACTTGTCTGCTGCCACTGAATGATTCATCTTCAACTTCTGTCTTAGTATCTTTCCATCAAGATTTTGTTCGGAGTCCTATCGAGACACACACCCATATCAGTCTTGTACTGAAACACTATATCAAATCGTTTTTGTTTTTCAGTTTGCTTACTTCATGACCTTGCAAGGCCGATGAAAATAAATCTGTAATGCATTTTTTCTTCAGTTCTTACAATTTTATTCGGTCACAAATCATGATGTAACTCTGAGAACTCTCTCTTGTTCTAAAGTCATACCTGTGCTTTTGTAAGAAAAACCCAAGAAAACTTAGAGATAGGCTTCTGACTCTCCCAAAATTTTCACTCTGTGTGTGTGTGTGTGTGAGTGTGTGTGCGCGCATGCACGCACAAACCTGTGGAGGCCAGAGGTCAACATCAAGTATCTTCTTCTATTGCTGTCCACCTTGTTTCATTGAGATGATCTCTCTGAACCTGGAGCTCACCAACTGGCTAGACTGACTGACAAGTGAGTCCCACCTGTGTCTTCCTGATGCCTTTCCCTAGTGCTGAGAGTACAGCCATGCACTGCTACACCTGGCTGTTTATGTGGGTGCTGAAGACCCAAACTCAGATACGCATGCTTGCACAGAAAGCACTTTACCCACTAAAACTATCTTCCCAGGTCCACCATGCATGCTCTTAAATGGCCAACTAAAGTTTCTACGGCATTGTCAGGAGTGACTGAAGCAATTACCATGCTTTCATTTCGGGTTCCTGTTTATACTGCTTTTCTCTAATATTAAGCGGGCGTTTAAACCTAGAAGCTAATGCTCTAAATTGTAGCCAATGATACTCTTCTGTTCATGGATTGAATATGCCTAAGAGGTACTGGGGATCGAATATAGGACCTTAAACATGCTAGACAAGTGCTCCCACCACTCAGCTACAACCCTGTCCTATTTGGCTTTGTAGTTAAAGATAAGGGCTCACTAATTTCCCCAGGATGAACTTGAATTCTTTATATGGCCAGGGCTTGGATTACAGGCCTATACCAGCAGGACTAGATTTAAGTATCTTTTAACTAGTTCAAACACTCGAACTTGAAAAGAGCTACATATACGCTGAAAAAAAACCTAGGACATGCATTGATCCCATGAAATTCTGTTTATGATTTCATTGTATTATGAAGAGCAAATATGACAACAACTGTAAAAGAGTCTCAATGGGCGCTGTGATGAGCTTCCTTTTGTAACGTTGCTGTATTTGTTGAGGCTGTTCTTCTGGTCTATCTTAACACAATCCCAATGTGACAGGATTCGTCATAGATTATCAGCTGTTTACTGCAGTATTTCAGCACCCATAGCACAGCCTAGTGCATGCCTGAATTGATTTCAGTATTAGCCATTCCATAAGGATTCTTTCTACTAGTCCATGAATTAAAAAAAAATAAATTAAAAAGAACAAATAGAGGAGGGGGCTGTATAGAATCCCTGCATTGAAATAAAAAACACAAATTGCAGTGTGGAGTCTGGATTCATGCATCAAAAATGAAGTCTTTAGATTTCTGTCAACCAACAAATGCCGTTTGAGTCCGAGCAGTTTTGCACTTCATTCTACACCATCTGTCTCACAGGGAACAATTAATTGGAAACTCCAACACAGAGCATTGAAATTCCATTAACAAAGACTATAATATTAATGCATATGGCATTTCTGTTTTTATCTACCTGAGTGTTAATTTTGAATAGTAGGTATAACATTTTAATATATTCAGTTAGTTAAGAATATTGAATAAAAAAGTAATTAGCTAATATTATGTACTAGAAAGAAGTAAGTTTAGGCAACAAGTATCTGGGCTGCAGTTCTATCTTGAGTTAATGAATCTATGTCAAAACACTAAATACTTTATGAAATCAGTTTTTACAGGGCTCTGACTTTGGAATCCCACTTTCTTTTCCAGAACCACATCACTGCCTTCGCGGAAGTCACATGATATTGAAGCAGATGGAGTTTCTCTACACTGGACATCATCCCTTTTTACCATCCATTCATAGCAAAATTTATTTGATTACAAAAGAAATTTATAAAGTTGTCTGATAATTTTTTATAATTTTAAATTCAATAGCACCCTGTTTTCCCCACTAGACTGTGAGCTCCTCCAGGGCAGGACCATGACTTTCTTCTCTGGATCGCCCATGCCTATTGCAAAGCCTAGCACAAAGCTGGTGTTCAATAAAAATGAGATGATCAAATGAACAAACTAATTCTTAAATAAAATGTTCACCTTAGTCCCTCAAAAGAATCTCTGTGACTATATGGGAAAAACAAAATAAAACAAAACAAACTAAAACAAAAAAACCCTCTACATGGGTTACATTTGTATTTAAAAAGAAAAACCCTCTATTTTTGACCAGTTAAGCCCTTTTAATTTTTCATATATCTATTCATCACTATAGCATATTTAATTTGAAGTGGATTTTGAAAGTCATGGGGGTTATTTTATTATTCAGAATGACATTATTTCTATTCTAACAGATTTCAATGTGTGAAACCACTTTCCTTTTAGAAAGACTGTCCTATACTAAAATATCTGCTCATTATATTATATTATATTATATTTCACTTAAAATACCATTCATACTGCGTATTCTAAGACTGGTGCTTCTGCTTTTAAAGGGGGAAAATGCCAATTTTTACTGTAATAAGTAATGTATCATAATTAAAATTATTTATTTGGACTTTCTCTCTGACGGTTGTGGTTTAATGGTTGAATTGCTGTTTTCGGATGCAGGCAATATTCAGAATAGATTAGGGTAAATCCAGCCATGATACCTTATGATTAATTAACTTCTCATCACTAACAGTGTTTCAAGAGTGGTTATACTCTACTCTTAGATGTTCTGGTCCTGAATTCACATAATTTAAATGGGAACAAACCACATCTGAACTTATTATTTAAATTATGCAAATTTTAGAAGTATGATTAAAATGTTTTGCTTTATAATTGTAGAGGACTTTAAGCACAAAATGTATTTACATTTATTTTATCATTCCATCCTCACAGTAACCCTGTGCAAATGTTAAAAGATGGCTTTATTTTACATATGGGAAAAGAAAGGCCAGGACAAATAAACAACATACCCAATCCTGCACTAGTCAAAGGGGGCACTGAAATTTAAATTCAGATTTATCTTGAACTTCCATTTTTCTCAGCTATGCCACAGCTGCCTCAATGTTTGTGACACTGAGCCACTTCAGAGGCCATTAGAGTCCTGAGCAACTACCTATGTTTATAAAAAAAATGAAGAAATGCCAACATAGGGTTAGGAAAGGTCTACAGTATTTTAAATGTTTACTGTTTATGAATGAACACTTTTCAAATATAGAACTATCTATGATTCTAGTTCTAATTCTCTTGGAAAAAAAATGGAGACCCAATATCTGGATTAAGTATCTCACTCTTACACTCCAGCTGCCTTTCAGAAAAGGGGCTGAGGGACAGACTTTGCAGTAAGAATGTGGAATTAAAGATGAGAGAACGCTGGAACATAAGGAGGATGAACATACACTTTGTAGCCTTCAAACCTAACCCAAGGCACTTTTACTTATGTGAGCAGAAATTAATTTTAAAAAGTTTCTAGTCTTCAAAGGAAGTGAAAGTGGACTTTTTTACTTTACTCTATTTCATCAGAAGTCGGCAAATACATAAAACCAAAGACTTGTCCCTTTCATCCAAATGGATATTATTTGAAGGAATCAAAACATTCCTACTTAAGAGAAGGAAATTCACATTTCTAAAAGTTTCAGACCTCTATACAGAAATTCCATTCTTTAGGAAATTTGGAATAAACTTTGAATGTCTTGGTATTCTTCAAAGACATTGCTTCAGGAAGCAGTAATTAACTTCCTAGGGCTGGAAGTGAAAATAATGTCAGAGAGGACAGGGTGACTGGTAAAGCTCTGTAACTGGTTAGTTCAACTAGTTCTACATCTACTTCAAAAGGACACAAACAGGCGTAGTTTACACACTGGAGGCCTTAGATGTCCAAGTATGTCAAAGTCATTGATGTATCTTTGCACCTTGCTAAACCTGGTCTGAATCAGGAGTTATAAATAAAATGAAACCCAACAGATTTAATCCAGGATCAGAGTAAAGTCATTTCTAATATTTAAGCATCATGGAACTAAGATTGTGCAATGAATGTGATAAAATACTGGAAAAATAAAGGATGCATGTAAATAGAGCAAAAACCAGCAAGGAGCACTTTACCATGAGCTGTTACTGAAAATAATGAAAAATAATACAGTTAAGAAAATATTAACATGGGGGCTGGAGCTGGTACCCAGTGCTGAGTACTCGCCTAACATGCACAGGCTCTGGGTTCAGTCCCCAGGGCCTGAAAAAAGAAAATATTAATATTAATATGTAAATATGTACTTACATAGACTAGTAAAAGCAGGTAATCACATATCTTTCTGATAAAGAAATCTCCTTTTTATCCTACTTGGGGCCCAGGTCAGTGTAAATTGTTCATGCTGAAATTTTCAGTAGTCTTTGTGTGCATGGCAGAAATTCTGCACAAGTTTTATCTGATTCCTAAGATAACTTACAAGGCTCTTTTATGTTAAAAGAGAGGTGAACCTTCTTTGGCAGACTTTGTCTATTCAACTTCTAACTGGGCCTCTCTTTTTCTCAGGATCTACCCTAGCCAAATATCTCAGTTACATTTACCATAGTTTCTTTGTGAAAGAGCAGTGGGGGAGGAGATAGTTCTCTGCTGTGTAATGTATTTTTCAAATAAAAATTTCAAAAGTAAATTCAAAAAGTAAATGTCTTTACCCTCATGAACTGGTCTTTTGCCGGGGGGGGGGTGGGGAGGAATAAATGGTGATTCCTAGTGTGCATGTAGTAGGAATTCTCAGACTCCTGTAGAGTGTTTGAAAATGGTCCACAATTGATCAGACTAAACCATTTCTTAGGCAATGAAATGGCCCACATATCCCATGCACCATCCTGGCTATCAAACTCTTCATTTACAAATTATTAGGCTCTGGAAACTATTTTGGACATCAAGCAGGTATGTAACCTATACAATCTTCTTCCTACAAATGACAAAATAGTAAATAGCAAATGTAAACCCATAGTCCTGCCTCTAGGGCACCATCTATTAAATTGTGACTGCATACTCTGAAAGGATACCTAGACTTATACCAAATGGTTCTTTTTATATTTTATAAATGTGCATCTCACAATTTGCCTTAAAATTGATTTTCTTATGAATGCTATCAATTATATTTTTTAAATACCCTGAAGGAATAAATTCAAGATGATAAGTGAACACATCTCAATTCTAAGAAGCAAAACAAGGTGTTCGAATTTTTCATTCCTGACTTCTTCAGTTCCAATTATAGTCAGTTCTTAGTCTGATAAAAATCTCAGAACGTGGTTGATTAACAATAACAAAAATCTGTTTCTTCCAACTACTATTCTTGTGAACAAAATGGCTATCAAATCTTAATCACAAATTTAGAGAGCCATCTTTAGAATTTGTACGCAAGGAGCCTCAAACAAGAAAACATAGATGAATGTACATAAGCAATTCCACTGTTCAGATGAGAACTAACAAAGATGTCATTCTTTACAAAAATGATGTTGACATACCTTCACACTGTGCAAATGTATCAGCGTTTCATTCTTTTATGTAACTGTCACTGGCAGCAAAGGGGTAGTATTTTTTCTTCCTGAGAAGAAAACAAGACATATTTTTACAAATTTTATTGAATTTTTGTGTATTTCATACAGAACATCTTAATCATCTTTAGACCTCCTTCCCCAATGGCACCATCCCATAGCCCCCCCAGTGGAATTCATACATTCTGTCGTTTGTCTTAAGGCCTGTTATGTCAAGTTACTGTCCCCAGATGTCCCTCAGTGAAAGTTCATCCACTGAGGTCTAGCCAGCCTATCTAGAGTCCCTTCCTTTAAGAAGATCAGCTCTTCCTTACCCAGAAATAATCAGGGTAATTCTTTGACTAAGATTGGGGCCTGATATCCATTTCCACAGTTCTGTGCTGCGTTTCTGTCTGCTTGAATTTGTGTAGGTCTTGTGCATGCTGACGTCATTGCTGTAAGTTCCTATGAGAAGAGTCCCAGGAGCCTGCAAGACTCTATTTCTGTATGGACATTCACCTCCTCTCTGGCTCTTACAATCTTTATGCCATGTCTTTTGTAATAGTCCCTGAGGCCTGGTTGGGTGGATTTTAATAAAGGAGTCCTGACCAAGGACCTACACTCTGTACACTCTTATTATTATTTTTTTATTTAATAGCCACATGATTAGTAGAAGCATTTCATTACAGCTTTAACATGTTCAGTAACATTCCAGAGCAAGGATACATCTCTTCAAAAGTGGCTGTAAATTTTTAGGTTCACAGTTGAATTAATGCAGTTATACAATATTGAACACAGTATAAACCCTATAAGACATAAAATTGAGTTTTTACCCTTTAAAGAAGATATCTATTTCATTTCAAAATATGTTGTTTCCTACATTTTTAATGCTACTAACACTTAGATGTTTGTATACATGTCTTTAATCTCTATGTATTTGATTATTACTAGTCACAGTCAGTTACACTCAGATCCTTAGTACCTGACTATGGATATAAAGTCACAAGGTAGATTTCACTGGTAATGTTTATCACCTCTACTATTTGACATGAAGTAAATTTTTATGCTTCATCCTCAAATATGTCTTTTCTTTAATTTGTTGGTTTTGTGTGTGTATATCATACAGAACATCCCACACAATCTTATTCAACTATATACCCACTTCCCAAATGGCACCCTCCCATAGCCTCCCCCCTCCCACACACTGGAGACCATATACTCTGTCATCCCTGTTACTGTCTGCCATGTTGTCAACACCCCCAGCCATTCTCTGGTGCTTGTCTGTCTGCTGAATCTAGTCAGCCTATCTAGAGGTCCTTGTTTTAGGAAGATCAGCTGTTCCTCATGTAGCAGCAATCAGTTGTCAATATTCCTTTAGATAAGATTGGGGTCTGCTGTTCATTTTCCCAGTTCTTTGCTGGGTTACTATCTGGGAGTCTTTTGGGCCACCCTGGCCAATAACTCAAAGGAAGGTATCTCCAGTCTGGCTTTGTTTCTTGTTATGTAGCCTTTAGCTATACATATGGACGTTCAAAAATTATATTGACCCCATTAATCTTTGGTTATACTTTCCTTTTGGGTGTTTAAGACCCTACAATTTGCCCATATTAACCAATTTATTTTTACTCTTAAGGTCATTTGAGGATCTGTTCCTCAGGGGTCACATGGGCTTGGGAGGAGCCCCTGGCACCTTTCTTTTACCAGTTCCGCCTATATGAAGATAAGTCAAAGGTCCTGCTTGACCATGGCTGGCTTCGCTTGGAAGCATGGAGGAAATGTTTGTTCTGTGTTGACCCTCCTCTTTGTAGACTGACACTGGTTCAGGTCCATCTGGTGAGGTCTCCATGGCCTCCTTGATCACCAGTTAGAGGACATTTTGAGAAATGCTCATAGTCCTCTGGACTTGGTCGACCTAGGAGAGAAAGGAGCAAAAACTATCCTTTATGTCCCTCTGACCAAATTAGAATAGGCCTCATAGGATGGCTGTTAAACATCCAAGAAGGTTAGTTCCACCAGTCTGGTACTTTTTTTTTTTTAATCTTTTTGAGACAGGGTCTCCCTGTACTGGGAGACTCTGTCTCAAAAAGACCAAAAAAGAAAAAATATTTCAAAAATTCAGTAAAAATAATTTAAATATTTAAAGTAATTAAAAATCATTTTTGCTGTCTGGTTGTATATATTATGGTTATAGTTTGCTTTCAATTGCTGTGACAAAATACTCTGACCAATACCAACTTGGAGATGAAAGGATTTGTTTGGCTTCCATATCCCAGGTGACAGTTCATCACAGAAGGAATCCAAGGTAGAAACTCAGGACAGCAACCCAGAGACAGGAGCTGAAGCACAGGCCATAGAGGAACAGTGCTTACTGGTGTGCTCCTCTGGCAAGCTCAGCCTGCTTTCTTATACAATACAGGACTGCTTACCTAGGGATGACATCACCCACAGTGGACTGGGTCCTCCCACATCACTTAAAAATAAAGAAAATACTTTACAGACATGGTCACTGGCCACTCCAATGGAGGAAATTCCCCAATTGAGGCTCCCTCAACCCAGGTGTGTCAAGTTGACACTAAAGCTATCCAGCACAATTACCATATGCCAAGTAGATAGAGTGTGGGCAAAGACCAAATGCTCTCAGATAAACCTTGCCTAGACATATATTACATTCTTTGATCTGGTTGTATGTATAATTTGTCAGTAGGTTATTGGCCTAATATGGTTCCCTCTGGTTTTCTAAAACTAGTTAGGCATTCTTTATCTCTCACATTGTCTAACCCTTCCACCATGGTTTCCCAATTTAAGGTGCCCTCGTTTTTCCATTTCTCCCTTAATAATACCCTTCTCCTATGGTCCCACCTCTCTTGTGAGCTCCTTCTTTCCCTTTATCCCCTAGGTTCCTTGTATAACCTTCCCTCCCCCTTCCCCTTAAAATAACCCATTAT